AAGAGAAAACTAAATTGGTTTATTACATTCCCTCATTAGGAATGGACAGCAAAGAGAGCGAGGGAGAGAGGGAGTAAGAGCGAGAGGTGAGTATGGATGGTGACAAGAGGGAGGGAGGGGGGAACCCGTCCCGGGAACGCTCTCTTCGTCCGAAATCAACGACAATCAAATAAAGTTTAAATACATATTTTTATTCCATTACACACTCGAAAGGTCTAAGCCCCGCCGCAACGAACGGGCCATGTCTCCCCGAGATAGAGCGAGAGGGAGAAGGGGGAGGGTGAGCGGGAGGGGGAGGGGAGGCGGATGATGGCGATGATGACGATGCTGATGTTCGGATGCGTTCGTGTCCCCGGGTCTGTCTCCGCCAAGTGCTAACGATTTGGCAATGGCCAGAGACACAATGTCCATCAGTGCCGTACCTCCCTCCCTCCCTCACCCCCACCCTTTGTCCACTCCGCAGAGCAAGAGCAGCGCTAAATGTTTTTGCAGCTTTTGATTTTCCTAGAGATGATGTCGTGAGAGTGGGACAGGGAGTGATGGCGGGGGGGCTCCCCCTTTAGAAAGTTCTTGGATAATTTTTGAAATTTATTTTTATTTTTTATTGCTACCCCCCGCCCGCCTTTAACAATCTATTCTCTGGCTATTAATTGTTGTTATAAATAAGAATTAAATCTGCTGCTGTGGGCCAACATTCATAAATTTCAATTTGTTAAGAACGTGATTTTGGTGAACGTCCCAAAGAGATAGAGGGGGGGGGGGGGGGGGGGGGGGGGGGTCACGTGCGCATCTCTAGGAGACGGCCACGAAGGCGAGTGCTTACAGGTTTTCCTTCCTTTTTTTTTGCAGCCTTTTGGCCCAGGCCTTAACTTGACTTTGGCTGACCAAAAGAGGTCTCAGACCCGCAACTCGAGGCGAGCCTCGTCGAAAGGGACGGGGGTGGGGGGCAGACTAGCCTCTGACACCGGAGCGACACTCCACTCCGAATGCGAGGAATGGTGGAGCGTGGAGCGTGGAGCGTGGAGCATTGCCTATACATTGTAACTTGTTGTGGCTCCCCAAACAACATGAAACGAGCCACAGATTGAGGAAAAACGAAGATATAGATACTCTAAGGATCGGAAAAGAAATGTCCATTAAACAACAATTTTATGGGCCATTCAATGAATGAATATACAGCACCGAAAAGGTTGTCTCTTCTGCGATACCCTCGGAACGGCTAGAGGGTATCAGCAGTGCCAGAGCCAGTGCCAGTGCCAGGGCCAGGGCCAGTGCCTGTGTTAGTATAAATTCTCGCCTTTCGTTTTGGCGAGTAGTCACGATTTATGCGAAATCATTATAGGCAAGTATTTCTTTTTTATTTTACGGCGTTTTATCTGCAGGAAGACGACACCAGCCACCAACAGCAGACAATACATATATATATTGGTATATATATATATAGCGTTCACTATAATTGCAGTCAAGTCAATTAAATACATAGATTGCAGCAAGTCGATAAGGCATTAACCTTCCCTCGCTTCCCGATCTCCCTCGCACTCTCGCCCTCTCTTTTTTAGCGCCCAATTGTGCTTTTTGTTTGAGGTTTGCTTGGGTCTTGGGATATTCCTCTGTTTTGGACGGAAAACGGCAGGTCATTTCACTTAGGCCAGAGAGTGGGCTCCGGGCCAGACCCAAAGAGAGTGGCACTGTAGGGAGGACAGAGGTCCGGTCTTCCTTTTTGGCAAGGGAATTTATGAAGACATGAAATGACTTTGATGTTTTTTCTTTGCCCTCCCCCTCCCCCACGACTCCAGCCATGACTTGCAGACGGGGGGAGAATGTTGGCCATTTGTTACGGACAAAACGGTTGGAGGAAGCGCTCTGGGCTTAGGGGTTGTGCGGGTTGTGTTGTCTAAACACCAAATTATAGATAAGATCTAACACGAATATGATTAGACCGCTGGATCAGATCTAGGGCTTGAGACCTTCGTCTAATCTGAATTGCCTAAAATGTCACTTGAGTGTAGGCCTTTACCTCCCTCAAAGTTTCCCGAATGATCTCTCTTAATCCCTATTATTGTACATTCCTCTCTCCATCGTTTTTACCATTAAAATCTATCAAAATTGATTCCGAAAGTGGATTTTTCTGTGGTTAATACTGTATTTCCATCATTCTCCCTCATTTTCATTATTTTGGAATGTCTTCAAATCTGTTTAGTCCCTCGAACAGCCTCCTTCTTGCCTCAATCTACTCTTAATCTTCCCCAGCTCTCCCCAAATACTCAAAGTGTTAAAGGGCAGATAGTAATGGTTGAAATGGCCACCATCCCAATCAAACTGTCTTCTCTCAATCAAGCCACTCAATCAATTTAGTGCGTAGATGAAATTCCCTGCAATAAAAGCGATTAATTAGAGCATCGGACAGAGCAGAGCTGCCGGCTGGAGCGGGCCCCAAACTTCTTACACCTGCCTTTCACTCGTGTCCGTGTGTAACCCTAATACTTGCCCCAACCATCCATCCATTCAGTCCATTCCCTAGAGATAAGACGGCAAGAAAACAAAACACTTGGCACCCAGGGAAGGGGAGGGGGCAGGGCTATGGGATGGGGAATGCGTGTAATCAACACTTTTATGTGATCCCAAATCCAATTCTCAACTAATTACCAAAGCATCGATAGGAATAGGCAATAGGTGGATGTGTGTGTGTGTGTGTGTGTGTGTGGGGCAGTGTGGCAAGTGGAATGGGATTACCTGCATGCCGATTGGGTGGCATTAAAGACCTGCCCTGCCATGCCCACCAAAACGTTATTGTGCGATGTTTATTTACTGAACCGAAAGGAATCCTCAATTCGAACGAATCGAAACTGCAATCCGGCCCCCAGGCACCCAGTGACGGTCCAGTTGCTGCCCCAAAGGCTTAGTGGGGATTTTGGTGGCAGTGTTCTTTCCACAGCTACAGCTATCTGCTTTCGTGTGCAGTTTTGTTTAAACAAAATCAATCCAAATCGATTGCACTACCTTTTTGGCTGGAAAATAAAGACGTAAAGAGCAGGCGCGGAGAGGGGGGGGGGGGGGGAATGGAAAGCCATAAGAGATTAAAGAGGGCCCCTTCCTTGCGATAACAGAGTGGAAATTAAAGCAAACTGGGGGAATGTGCCGCCGGGCAATGCCACTAAAAAGCGGCACTAATACGATGTAAGTACAGTGGAGATTAGGTGGCAAAGACCGAGTGTGTTTAGTTTAAACAGTTCTAGAAAAATATAAGACCAACTTTCATCGAAAATCATTCAGAATCAGAATCATTCAGAATTCCTTCGGTTTTTGTGTATTTTTTTAGTGTTTTTCGATTCTTTAGTTGAAACATAGTCTATGATGTACTGAAAACTACTTAATCTCCTTAATATGTTAGAAAACAATTTTCCGCCCCATTCCACACACCTTAGAGGATATCAGCTAGTCGTGGCTCCTCCTCCTTCCAGGCAGGCAAGCACTTGAGTGTTTATTTACACTCGTCTTCTGTCTTGTGTCCCATTCCCCGCTCTGAAGATCTTTCGGGGCTCTTTTCTGTTTTTAAGTAAGCGATTAATGCGGCGGCTGTCGGTTGGGGGCAGGGGCTGTTGGCTGTTGGCTGGGGGCAGGGGAGGACAATGAAAATTTGTCACTTGACAAAACAGAAACAAAACGATTTCCATTTGGGCGACGACAAATAAGACATGAGGCAGGCACAAGTGCTCCTGCTTCTCCTTCTCCTGTCCTCATTTGGGATTCCTCCTACTTCTGCTTTCTCTCACTCTCTTGAATGAATGCCAATGTATTGGAAGTAAGAGCCAAATCAACAGAACAATCGTCCTCACACACACAGGAGGCATACAGGACGCAGACAGGACGCACACAGGACACAGAGGACACTCTCTCAATGATTGTTATTAGTACATTTGCTTCTGGAGTATATCTAATTTGCCATTGATGTGTGCATTAAGTTTGTATTGAAGGCACAGGACAGGACAGGACAGGACATCGCCAGTGTCGTAAAACATTAGTGTCCCCTGAGATTAGAGCAACAACAGCGCGAAGGAGAGGCGATAGCAGGGGCAGGGACAGGAAACGGCAGAGGAAAAAGGCTGGCTCATCGCCCTTTTATTTGACAGTGGGCCATATTTATTGCCAACTCATTTCAATGCAGGAAGATAGAGAGAGAGAGAGAGAGGGGGAGGGCAAAGCTAGAACTAGAAGAAAGAGGAAAGAGGAGAGACAGGAGCTACGAAAGACAGAAAAAGAGGCGCTACGCAATTCGGACAAAGCGGAAAAGCAAAATACGCCATCAAAATAAATAACAGAAAAACAGACACATACGCACACGCACACCAACACACACACACACACACAACATATGTACGTGTGCGGGAGAGGCTGTAACAGAAGAACCAAAGGAAAGTCAGAAAGCTTAGGCCGGCACTCTCGACTAGAGCATACCCCTGCTACTGCACAGGAACTGGTTTTCATGAGCAGAGAACTAGACTCTCCCAAAGTTTCCACTCTTTCAAGGTGCCTAACCAACTTTTCAATCAATTTAAACACAAAACAGGACAGTACACGAATGTAATATACCCCTTGCACACCTCTCAAGTACGGGGTATAGAAATACAGTAGCACAGCATTCGGCGTTTCCGCAAACAAAACGAAACGTAGTAGCAGCACAAGAAGAGAGAGAGAGAGGGACGGGACCATAGCCTGGGGGAGGGTTACGTTACGTTGCGTTACAGTTACAGTTACTGTTACTGTTTGGTGGCGGCGGCAGTGTCGCGTCCCACCCAAAATGTAATGAAATCCTTTGTGTGAATACGTGTGCGTGTGCGCCAGTGTGCGTTTTGTTTGTCAACTTTTTTGGCCAAGGCGGCGGCAGGCAGCACATAAAAATGCTAATACCCAAACACTACAACAAATTGCGGACCAAATATTGTATAAGTTGTGGAGTGGCTCAGACACCGTCTAACTGTATAATTTCAGCGAGCACTTACCGTTTGAATTCAGCCAGGTGAGGGGGGTGGGAGCAGCAGGAGCTGAAGCAGGAGCAGGAACAGAGTCAAAAGCACCGCTAATCCAAAAGTCCTTTCGGCTCAGAAATTGTGACACACTCGACAGACGCGGCACACACACACACTCACAAAAACCACAGGCACTTGTACAATAATCACTCCGCTCTTTGCGTTGCGAAAAACTTAATTTTCATTCGTATTTTATTCGAATTGCGCTTTTATATTCCGATTGCGAGACGAAATTCAGGAATTTCAAGTGGAAATCTTGTTGGAGCACTTTTCGACGAGCAGCCCCAACAACCGTCTTGTGGCGGCGACGGTGGCAGCGGCGGCGGCGGCAACGATGCTGGCGAACAAGAAAAACTTTTGGCCAACTTCTTAGTTAGAGTGCTTAGGTAAATGGCTTTGAAAACGCGCGCTTCTTAATTATATTCACAAGTTCTTCGCTTCACGCGAGTATAAAGAAAACCACTAATTTTTCCGTACAGCGACGCGCAGCGACCGCGCAGTTTGAAAGTTGGGAGTTTTTTGTTTTTTCTGAGAGACGGAAGGAAAAATATGCCCACCATTTCTAGGGTATGATGAATGTTGCGGGACATGCTGCTCGTTTCCGCGGCACATGAGTCTGGCGCATACAAATGGATGTTGCCGCAATTTTGTGTATGAAATTAACTACTTTTAAGTACTTGCATGTTATTTATTTTGACAAAAACACGGTTTCAACAAAAATGTTCAAAAAAAAAAAAACAGTCTCAGTGCTGTCACGTCAATGTTGCTGGGGACCTAAAAGTGTTGCTGGCAGCAAGCAGACTTCTCGTTAAAATATACCGTCCGAACCTCAGAAATATACCAAAGTATACCGTCTCATTTTTAACATATACCATAAATATACTGACAAATTCAATTTATATGTTACATATTCCGATTTTGATATTCTGTGGAATATTGTTAGCTAGATAGAACATTTAGCCCTGCCCACATCATTTTAGGTAGTTGATGAATAAATTTTCGTGAAGATTGGCTGGTGTTTAGTCCTTGCTTTCATTGTTTTGGGACTACAAATAGTTCAACAAAAAACACAGTCGCAATGTTGCTGGTTTTTAAAAATACCGCCTTCAGTGTTGTTGAGGAAAAACCGCAAGGTAAAATCCAATTCGACTTCGAATATTTTTATGAGGTGAGGTGCGCGGCTTCTCGACATGTTGCTGGGCCGTTTTACCTTGCCGGCAACATGTTTTCTAATGAACCGGTTTCAGAGAGAGCTGCTCATTTTTGTTCGTCTCTGCTCTCTCAGCAACGATGCGAAGTTCTAGCAACATGTTGACGTTTGAGGTAGAGTTGCCAGATCAATGTCAGCTTAAGCCCGCCTACGTGATTATTTGAAAATTCAGGGGATTAACTTTTTTGCACCAAAACAGATGCAACTTGCAAGTCATAATCAAAAAAAGAAAAACCAGGGAAATTGCGTGACTACTTGACTCAAACGCAGGGAAACTGTATCCAGATTAGCTGGTTTCCTGTCTGGCTCATTACTACCCATCCTTTGTAGCTGCTTCCTCCAGAGTTCTCTGCTCTGGGCTTTCCTTTTCTGAATGGTCACGTTTATTAATCGGCTTAGCTCTTGGTTTCGTTTGTTTTTTAAATACGCGGCCCTTAACTACCGGGCACGTAGCCCTCCCATTGTTTGGATAATTTTAAGGGCAACTGCGTCGACAGACGCAGACGCCGATCCATAAGCATGAAATATGTGACACGAGGGTAGGTAGGGTAGGGCTACGGGTAGGGGTCGTCGAGATGGCGATCAATGGACGACGGACCGACTTAAGGACCGGTTATATCAGCTGTCGGACGCTGCAGTCGATCAGTTAATGTTTAGTTGTTCCTTCATTATTATTCGCATAACTACAACTAATATTCGTATTTGTATAACTAGCACTAATCAAGTCTAAAAAAAGCAAGCAGATATGTGGATCGTACAGCAACTGGCTTCTGTACGATACGAAATTAGTCAATTAAATCACAGATGTATTATTTTGCGCACACTCCTCCACATCCACGCCGGGCGTCCGGTCGGGCGGCTCGGCATTTAGCACCAAGTTCTCGATCGAGCGGAACGAGGCGTCCTCCAGGTGCGTGGACATGGCCGCAGGCGGACGTGGCAAGGTGTTGGCAGTGCCACTTAGTCCCCCGCCTCCGCCTCCGCCCTGACGTGGCAGCGGCGGCTGGCGATGTCGCACTGAGGAGCGCAAAATCGTAACCACATCCTCGGCGGTGTACGGACGCCGCTCCAACGTGGCCATGGCCGATGTGGACACTGTCTCCGATCCTGGGCGATGCAGCTTCCGGCCCAGGGACTGCGAACGTTGTGCATAGCTAGCATGGCTGGGACGTTGCCCAATCTCAATCGATTCGGGACTGCTGGTGCTGCCGCTGCCGCTGCCAGCTGGCGATAGCTCCGCCTCTGCATGGGAGCTGCTTCCCGCCGGATTGGTTAGAATGGTCAGATAGTCGGGCGGTGCCACCGGCGATCCAGACTCCGCATCGATGCTCAGCACGGGTCGCGTGCGGCTCGAAGAACCCCCGAGTACTCTGTGGATGGAATGGAACGGGGGATAGTCTCGTTATAACCTATGCTCATCTGGGAGTGATCTGCACTCTGTACCTGCGCACGCTGCGTCGAATACTCTGGCGCAGAAGTTTGGCCAAACGAGCTCCTGTCGCTGTGGTGTAGGATGGCGGCGGCGTGTACTTGGGCGGAGCATCGTTCTGGGCGTCAAGCTGGCCATTGTCCGGCTGATGGCCGGAGGCATTGCGACGGCCCTGCGATGTGGCCTGCCGGGCCGATGGACGTCGCGGCTCGTCTCCCTCCTCCGGCGGTCGGTACAACAGTTGAATGCGCTGCAAAGTGCCAGATAAAACGGAGATTGAAGGAAGATTCCCAAAGAATCAGCGGGCGAGTGCTTACCTCCAGAATGTCGGGAGGTCCGTGGGTCAAATACCGATAGATCTGGATGATGGCCGTAACGGGAATAACCAAAACAATGCCAATTTGGATGAGGCTGCCCGTCTTCCGCAGCCAGTAGCTAAAGTACGACTTGCCGCGCCAATAGTAGAACTGATTCGACAACGATGCCTTGTAGTCGACCACCGAGAGCGTGATCAGGCCAATGGGCAGCAGGACATTCCAGGAGAGGGCCAGGAAGGCGGACATGGAGCCGCACATGCGCAGATCATTCACCAAGTCATCGCCATTGTAGGGACGTCCGCGTATCAGGAACACACCAAATATCTGCGCCGTCCAGATGATGGGTATAAACCAGGAGCCGCCCAGCAGAAAGTCCACGTAGTACAGTATCGAAATTCCCACTTCGGTGGCAAAGGGAATGCTCAGCAGCAGCCCGGTGACGCAGCTCAGCAGCACGGAGCTGGTCGAGTTGCCGAGGGCACTCGAGATGGGCTTCCACATCACACACAACTGCGCCAAGCCGAAGCAGGCGAACAGGGCGAACGCTACGGCAGCCCAAACCCAGGAGATGCTCTCGCTGGCCAGAGATAGAACGGCCGGAAAGAGTTCGGTGATGAAGCGCAGCGCCTGGAAGCCGCTCTCAATATGGATCATGGTGCGATTCCGACGATACGTCTCCCCAATGAACGACGAATAGTGCGGCACCAGCGCCCGTGGATACGACAGCAGCTGGGGATTGGTGTTCGCTTGCAGCGAATACACGGACGTATAGCTGTCGGCGTTTTCTGAAGCGAAGCAATCAAGTATCAATTAGTCTTTTATTCCCTTCGATATTCTACTCCATTGCTCACCAAAGGATCCTGGCACATAGATGTAGCCGTGCTGCCAGAGAATCTGGGCACAGCACAGGGCCAGCAGGGCCATCAGGCCCAAACCCAGAAAGGTGAGCAGCACCAGGACAATGGCATCGCGTCGCAGAGTCGCCTTCGAGGCACTGGCATGGGTGCGACTGGTTATGGCTATCACCGAGGCACCCAGCAGGCCCCACGTGAGGAAGGTCTCCTGTGTGGCCGCCGTCCAGCTGTTGGAGTTCACCAGAAACTCATCAAAATCGCTGGCAGCGAAAATGTTCTGAGGAAAACAAACAGAAATGGGTTTAAGATGGGTTCAGGGAGGAGGATTTGTCGGGGACGACGACCTACCTGGAGCGTTGTGGGATCCACAGCATAGAGAAACTTCACTGTCACCACCATGAGGGCCACCAGGGGCAAGGTGTTGATGATATACGCAAACTTTCCCAGAGATTTCAGTCCTTTGCAGAGTATGAGGAAGACGCCCGCCCAGATGAGGGCCAGGTAGAACGCCAGCTGCTGGAGGAAGAGGCAGTTAGTCGGTTAGATCGGGGGGGAAGTGGGAATAGTGTGGGAGAGTGGGTGGGGAAGGGAGCGAGGGCGAATCACCTACCCGATCATTGACATGAAAGCGCACTCCACTCGCATCTGGATGCTTGGCCAGATGCAGCCGCTGTAGGACCACAATATTGAAGTACTCGGCCACCGTTTGGGTGAGATTCCCGGTGGAGTTGGCCGTGTGATTCCAAAAGGGAAAGGCCACCTCCTGCCAGGGGTAGCCGATGCGTTGGGCTGTGGGAAAGACGTCCCGCAGATAGACCAGAATCCAGGCAATCGACACCGTCGAGTAGATGGCCAGGAAGCACTGGACCATGACCAAAGCAATGCCCACGCCGGAGCAGATCGGACTGATCTTCCACATGGATACAGGGCCGGCACGGATCTTGGCCCCCAGGCACATCTGCAGCCAGAAGATCGGTATGCCAAAGATAATGGAGAGCATCAGGAACTGGAGCAAGAAGTTGCCGCCATAGTTCATGGTGAGCACGGCAAAGCGGCACAAATTGAACACTCCGAGGGTGCAGGCCATCAGGGCCAGAGCGCGACTGGCGGCATGCGGCCACTGGCTGTTGAAGCCGCACTTCTCTCTGAGCGGCAGATGCAGCGGCTCCAAGGGGGTGGTGCTGCTGGCACTGCACATGGTGGTGCTCTGCGCCTGCAGCTCCACCTGATCCTGATCCTGATCCTCCTGGTCGTGGGTGCTCACCGAGCTGCTGCTGCTATCCGAGACCAGGGACAAGGGGCTGGGCATTCGGGAGGAGCGGGCCGAACTCAGCTCCGAGCAGGTGGTCATCATTTGATGCGTCGGCGTCTCCGGCTCCGGCAAATACACCCTCGTTGGGGCACTCTGTGGACGGCTCTGGCCCACAGCTATGCTGCCACGAGCCGGCGTGGGAGGTCCCTCCAGGCGGCGACCATATTGCCGGGGTCGCTCCTCGCTCGAGGCACGCGCCGCCGTCCGCTGTTCGTTCTGCAGGAGATTATCAAAGATGTGAGCATCGGTGAGCATCTCCGAGCCATACTGTTGTGGTTCCTGTTGCAATCCTGGGCAATCGCCCTGCGAAAAACAACGTCGCATATCCGCCTCCCGCCTGGGCTGTAAATCCACTAGCAATGTGGGCAAGTCATCCTCCTCCCCCAGTGTGGCTTTGGTCTCATCTGGTTCTGAGTGGTGCTGCTGCTCCATGGCGCGTCGCAAGGACTGACGACACCAGACATCGGCGACTGGCTCGTCAGGCGGCGCTTCCAGGGAGGCTGCAGGAAAAAGGTTATGTAATTTATTGATTTCTATCGATTCTTTCGTTGTGGGACTCACCCGCTTGGCTTGTGCTGGGCCTCAGGGAGCAGCTAAAGGTCTTCCGTATTTGATGCTCCCGCTGGAAGTCTCCGTCGCCCATCAGGCCACTGGACGTGGCATCATCATCAAGGGCGGATTTTTTGTGTGCCTTTCGTTTCCTACTCAGCGGCAGGGTGCGCGTTCTTGGCTCTCGCTTGAGGCTTGAGTGGCCATCAATGATGACCAAAGAGTCCTCTCGACTCAGGGCATTGTCCATTTCCTCCAGATAGTTGTCCAGATCCATGAGATAGTCTTCCACCTTGTCATCGTCGCTGGCACTGTTCAGCGATGGGGAGTTGGTGCGAGAGGAGCTGCCATTCAGCTGCGAGGCACCGTGCACGTCCAGTATGGCGTCCAGTTCATTCAGCACACAGAGCTCGGCCTCGTTCGTCTCGGCCTGATCTCGCTTGATGGGCGTACTCAGGGGCGGCGGCTGCATCTCCTGGCTGCCACAGAAGGCACTTCGGTCGTCCTCGTGTATCTCCATCTTAAAGCTAATGGGTTGCAGTTGTAGCGGCTGCTTCTGCTGTTTTTGCTTCTGCTTCTGCTGGTGGAAGCCCTGTGGTGTTTGCTGGATCTCAATCAGATCCTCATCGCTCAGTTCGTCGTCGTAATAGTCGCAGGACTGCCGGATCGATTCGCTCGAGAGGCTGTGCGAGAGTCCATAACGCTCTGGCTCCTCTTGTTGTTGTTGCTGCTGTCTGCGCGGCTTGCCCGCTGTGTGTCCTGTGGAGGCACCTGCTGCCGAGGAGGATGTCGATGGTGTGGGTGGTAGACTAGCGTAGGCATTTGAGTTGCGTTTGAATTCCACCCGGCCTGCTGCTTGTTCTTTACTGTTCATTTTGTTGGCATTGCCGCACAGCTGATGGATGGGGCTGGCTGGCTGGTGTGTTGGGGTTGGCGTCTGTTGTAATCCTGCCGCCGCTGGGTCCAGTGTTGGGTAGGGGCTGCGGTTTCAAATGTTTCCTGATGACGAAAAGCAACAAACTGGTTAAACAAACTTCTTGTACACTATCTGGACATTGAGACAGGTCAGCTTCTGGAGATCAAATCAGCTGGCGTTATATGCAAAAATGCAATCAAATGCAAACAAGCGCGTGCTCTCAGCTTTTACGATTGTTTGCACGTGAGTGAATCGCGTCCGCCAACAAACCTCCCCCCACCCCCCACCTGTCCGTTTTGTGACAGCCGCAAATGGTCGAGAAAATACATATACATAGAGTATATGCATATGTGGAATGGGTATACGGCACGGGCAACAGAAAGAGAGAAAAGTAGAAGCAAACAGTGTGGAGAGGCGCATGTTCATTCAACTGATCAGGTGAATGTACTTCCGTTAATAACTCTTTTTTTTCATCCATGATATGTTCGTATAAACAATCTCAAAAGGGAGTGGCGTGTGTGCAGTGGTGGGGGGGACTGGAGCGGACTAGGCACTCGAGCCGCTGTCGCTGTCGCTGCCGCTGCTGCTGGCACGTTACCTCGATTAAAGTCAAATTTCTGTGTTTTATTTCTTCTTTTTCGGACGCTGCCCGCCGTGTTTTCGGCCTCAAGTCGAAAAATCTGGCTGAATCACACAGAGTGTCTCTGGGGTCTGGTCTGGTCTGGTTTTCTTGTTTCGGTCGATTTTGCATATGTATAACCGTGACCTTCACAGAGTTTTGTCGCCGTCGCTGTTTTGTTGGGGCCATAAAAACTTTAAAGAGATCGGATAGGCACCGCACCGCACAGCATCGCATTAGGGCACACACAAAGAAAATCAGTTAACCTGTGTATGGGAGTAGTGTGGTGCCATGGCGGTATGCAGCTGTCTCCGGCTAATAGAATAAGCGGCATCCATATATTAATTGTTGACTCGAGAGGTCAAATTATTTAGCGAACAGATGCCATTGATCGCAGATTCACACACACTTTCCACTACACCACTACCCTCCCTCTCTCTCTCTCCCTCTCTCTCTATAATGCCCGGTACGGGTCTCTGGGGAGACGTACCGTTAAATTTCGCCACTGCTCTCGTTTTTTCGCATCAAATGTCCGAGAAATAAAGGTAAACAAGACAATTAGTGCTGCCGTTTGAAAATGCAGTTTTGCAATTGGCAACTCCGCACGGCGGACATTTATGCTCCGAATGATCAAGGTATATCGAACAGAAGGTAAGGAATTATCAATTAAGCACCTATGTCAATTGCATCCGTCTGGATAGGTGAAGACGAAGGAATGGGGTGGCAAAGAAACTATGGTAACCGGGCACGGGTCGAGCCTTACCGCATTGTTGAATATACCTTGCTAATGACCTTCGGTGGGGGCTAAAAAATGGCAACACCCAGCTGCCAAACGGCAAAGCGGGCGGCTGGCTAACAACTTGTTTTCTTTTCGTTGCAGTTTTAATGCAATTTACAATGAAATTGACATTCACCAAACAAATAAAACAAAACTAGTTAATGCTGGGGCACACGGGGCACACGACGCACACGTAGCAGCTTCAATCCAATGATCGCGACCGATGCTGGCAAGTGTGGTTTCCTTGCCACATCGGTATTGGTATTGGTTGCTACGGTGTGTGTGTGTGTGTGTGTGTGTGTAACTGGGGTTGCAACGCAGCACCGAATGGTACCGTTTTCGATGTGAGCCTCCAGTCCGTCCCTATAGCTATTATTATGGTTACAAAAAGAAAATCAAAGTGCAGCACGTTTTTTCCTGTGCTTCAGCGCCATTTCCTCTTTGACGCCACAGAGAGGGATAGAAAGAGAGAGAGAGAGAGACAGAACTGACAGCTGCCAGGTTTTTCTTTCCACCGAAGCCTGCCCGGGTGCTTGACTAGTACTGGAACTGGCACTGGCACTGTTGTGGGGGGATACACAGGGGGAAAGGAGTCTCATGTATGAGTAATGCAACAACCAGTACGAGTACTTTGCAAACTGCTGCAGAACGTTCAATTAAGTTCAATATTTGAGGAAAGCATTGGGTCAATTGCAAAACAAACGATCGTGCAAATGTATACAGAAAAGGCAGCAGAATCTGTACGAACAAGCAATTTGGATAGCGGGAATTTCGCTATTTATTTGTTTATCTGCTCATTTGGCATGCCGCAGAACATGTACGGAACGTGAAAGGGAGCCCTGCCCTGCTTCTGTTTTTTCTACGTTGTGGAAATCGCTTTTACAAAACAAACACACACACAGATAGAAACATACGCACAGACACATTATCCGCTACTTATGAATAACTGTTTTCCAGCGAAATACAAAAAATGAAAGAATGCTGAGTGGTGCTGGATTTGCCATTGCGGTTTGAATGGGGAATACCTTAAGTGGGATTGGTCATTCCCTAAGCGATCCAAAAACAAATAAAAGAACCACACAGCTGTTTTCCCAAAAGAGTGACCCGAAAAACGGAATGGAACCACCGCGTATGCGCAGCACGCCCCGAGCCTAAAAACATCATTTCAGATTTCATTTTAGTGTGTGTGTGTGTTTGTGTGTGTGTGTGGAAGCAGTAGTACTTTCGGGTAGAAATAGTGAGATCTGCAGATACGTGTCGTGCTCGTGCTCTCGCTCTCACTCTACCTCCTCTCTCCTTGGTTACTATGTAGTGTGTATGTGTGTGCTGCTTTTGTTTCTCGCATTTCCATTTCCAAGCGCACGAGCAAACAAACAGAAAGAAGATTCCAAACTTACGAAACAAATCAAAAGGGAGCTGTGGGGCAACTTGCCACACAATCGCAGGTCTAGCTCGCCTTCTCTCTCTCTCTCTCTCTCGCCCACACTTAGTACGAGCAGTTAGCATAATGCACCAGTCACACTCACGCTAGCACACACTCACACTATTAGTTAGATGTATTTTTATATGAAGAATACTCACACACACGTGAACGCGATTGGTAATTTTGATATTTTGTATCTTGTTTTCCTCTGAATTCATCAGAAAAATTAATAAATAGCTTTCCAGAGCTGATTGCGTTACCGTCCCGGCCAAGGCGACATTCGAGTTAATAACAATGTTCTCTGCGGACGCTGCGACCCGCACCACACAACTTCAAGCGCAAAAAAAGTTAATAATAAAATAAAAACCACACAAAAATTAAAAACGCTGCCGCTCCACACCAGTGTGACCGCGGGTTAAAATATACGGTCCTACCCTCAGAAATATACCAAAATATACCGTCTCATTTTAAAAATATACCGTAAAAATACTGACCAAGTCAAGTTGTACTAAAATATTCTTCGATTTTGATATTCCGACGAATATTACTAGCTATATAGAACATTTAGCCATGCCCACATAATTTTATCCGATTAATGAATCAATTTTCTACTTAACTGGCTTATTTTAACTACTTGCTTTTATTGCATTTTGCGTAAAATGCGGTTTTAGCGAAACATGTCAAACAAAAAGCAAGTAGCGAAATAGGTTAATCAAAACAAACGAAAAGGGAAATTCGTTCATATTGCTCAATTTTTATATTCCATTGAATAATACTGATTAATTAAATCTCTTAGAAATGCCCACATAATTTTATCCCATTGATGAATAAATGTTCTGCAAGATTGGATAGTTTTCAATCCTTGCTTTTATTGTATTTATTGTAAAAAAAGGTTCAAACGAAAAAGTTCAACAAAAAAAGAGTCGCTATATTGCGTGAAAGCCGTAGTATAGGCCTTTGTATACCCTATTTTGTTAATTGTATATGAAAGTATATATATTGATATGAAGATAAAATGTAACTAATAAAGACCTTTTCTCAAATTGACATTTTTTAGACATATTCATTTATATGATGAGTGTTTTGTATATATATCTCGATCCTGATACCTATTCTTGGTCCCTACAAGAAGACAATAAGCTTCAAAATATCGTTGAAATATTAAAAAAATATAATAAATAATATTGAATAATATTAAAATATTTCAGAAATAAATTGTTTTTGCCTGGGATGTCAAACATATTCACAGTTCTATAACATCCATTACCCCCAGGGTATGTGTGCATGGAATGGGACTCATTGTTGTTACAGATTCTACCCGATTCAAATAAATACCAAAATATACGGTCTCATTTGAAAAATACACCGAGTGGTGCGCGCCAAATCGAACTTTTTTGAATGTGAGCGACAAGGATTTAAATGTTGTCAACCGGGCCTTTATCTATGCCCACTCAATTTTATACGTTTGATGAATCAATTCTATACATGATTGGCCTATTCGAAATACTTGCTTTTATTGGATTTCTATATACCGTTGAAAATTAAATGAATAGATTGATGAATTGACAAAATAAACAAGCTTTTCTATAGCTTTTCCCCAGGGTATGCCGAATTTACTCATTTCGGAAAAGCTCCTATCGATACCTAATTAAACCAATCAATACCATATCGATAGTGATCGCGATTTGAATTGAAAAGCGGGGGACAACAGGCTCACATTTAACATTTAAATATATTTTTATATTTCGTATTTGGAGTTAGATTTAGTATAGTTTTGTGTAGGTCTAGACTATCAGCGAGCGGTTTACAAACAGTATCAACAAAAAACACACTTGTTAATAGAAGTACGATAACAAAACATAGAAACGTGATGTGATTGTGTTGCACCCTTCACAGCTGGAGAGTAGAGAGAAATATTCAATCTAGCGATAGGAAATTGCTTATAGTTCTTAGAGTGTTGATCTTAGTTTATGGACTGTGAAGGGTATACGCAGTTGCACACAGTTCCTTTGTAGGTTTCTTAGTAGGTATGTAGTTAAAGGTATTCGTATTCCATTAGCTTATCAACAGATTATTTGAACTATTGTTTTGCTTGATATTAATTTAATTTGGTTCGTGTTTGCTCTAAACCGGAGCGCGCGGTAATCAGAGCCCAACGTAAAATGAAATTTTGAAAAATCTGTTATTGCCAAACACGCAGAAGGAATACCCTTAGTAATTATCTAACGTATATGTACTTTGTATTGATATTCGCCAGCGGCTGATTTACGATAGAAATGTGCGCACAAATCCCTTGATGTCGGCGCGGCACAAGGGACAGTTGGCCACGCTGGGAGCGCACTGATTGCATGTCGCTGCAGTGAGAGAGGGTTTGCGATTGAGATAACAGCGCATATAGATGGGGGGGGCATGGCATGACTTACCTAAGTGACCGCAGGGTAGGAACACCACCCCAACCTCCTCGTCCAAACACACTTTACACAGACGGGCGTCCTTCAGCTGACGGTTCTCCTCCTCCAGTGAAATGTTGCCATTTGGCGGTGCCACAGACATTCTCTGCATCTGCTCCGAGATGTTCGCCTCGGGAACGACAGACGGCTCTGCCTTGTTCTGCATGGAATCGGAGGATACTGCCGCTTTGCTGGTGGTTGCCTGACAGCAATCAAGGGGCGGTGCAGTCGGCTCTGTTGGCTCCCGCACCTCGAGGGCTGTTTCACAACCAGCCTCGTCGAAGATGGCATGCAGCAGTTCATCCAGTGTTTCGAAAGCAGAGCCTGAACTGGAAAGCTTGCGTTGAATAGTGTTTCTCAACACTCCTCCGTTTATGCCCAGGGCGAGGGCTTCTTTGGCCGGGCTCTCATCCATTAGGGCATTCAGCTGGAGAGCAGGAGCCGTTGCTATCTGGGATCCAGACGATGCCGCCATAGCCTCACCCACCTCACGCACAAAGGTTGGTCCCTTGGCCAGCAGCACAAACTGACATTTGGGCGACCATTTAGCGTGCTCGTGCCAGGGCTCGTCCTCCTTCTGCCAGGAGCGCAGACCAATGTTGCAGTGGAAGCAGCGAACCTGATCAGCGATCTTCTGATAAAAGAGACCTGCCTGGGCGAGTGGCTCGGGAGGCTGAATGTTCCCAATGGGCCAGTCGGTGAACGTGCGCAGTCGCGAGTCCACGCAGGCGAAGTTTGGAAGTTTCGGCTGGGTTGTGGGCTGAATTCCCAGCTCTTCCAGATTCTTTCCAGCGGCAAATTCGATAAGCGGTCCCATTTGGACACGCGGACAGTTGGGGAAGAAGCGTCGATGCTCGTCGAAGGCGTTGTCGTTTTTCTCCCACTTGGCTATAACGCCATTACACCATACGCACTTGACATGATCCAAGCGATTTAGATAGTAAAAACCAGCCTTGGCCAGAGCCTGAGGCGTAACGTTAGGATTCTAGGGGGAAAAGAGTGAGATTTATGCATTTCTAGAGGATCGAGTCTATTTTTCACTCACTGGCCAGTCCTTGAATGTCTCCAAGCGATTCGCTTCCAGGTGAAGATCAGGACAGGCACATGGGGAGGCAGTACCGCCGCCATCCACCATGGTGTTGCCTTCGCTGTCATTCTCCTGACTCAGCGTGATATTGCCGCAGTGACTGGGGGCCAGCACCATGGAGCAAATTGGGGAGCAGCGTCGATGTCTTTCGGCCACTTGATCCCCGTACTCCCACCTATCGATGCGCACATGACACCAGTTGCACTCCGCCTCCAGCCAATTCCCCGTGGCAAAGAAACCATTCGTCACCAAATCCTCGGCACTGACGGGGGCATTCAGAGGCCATTGCACAAATGTGGCTGTGCGTACGCTCTCCAGCTCCAGTCGAAGTTCCGTCATTGTTGACGCACAAAAGAGTCACTTCTATCCGTTCGTCTATATAGTCTGTTGTGTATGAAATTCTCCTTACAGTGATGTAATTTGATGTAATTTAAGGATTTCTTTGACAGAAAATCAAAACAAGAAAAATTATTGATTGCCAGCTAGAGAATGGAGAACTATCGACATAACTATCGCATTCAGAGAGGCATTTCAGAGTTCGGTCCCATTGTTTTTAGTGAAACAGCTGTTTAGCAAAGCATAATGAACCAAAATTTATTGTTTATATTTTGTAAGTGTTTTGAAGAATATTGAGAAAAGACAATAGAGTGACTTGCTTTTATTATTGCAGTTCTGTATATCTCGCGATCAAATGCTGAACTCTCTGGCCTTCTGAGTGCCCTGCAATACTTTGGGCTCTACGGCAATGGATCGGATTCCCTGGGACAGTCTCGCGGTCAATGCGAGTATACGTTTGAATCGTTCGCCCTACTGGGTGATCGGCATACTTGCGCGCCAGACGATGAGCATATACTGCACCTGACTCAGCTGCCACCGCAGCGCAAGCCGCCCATCATGATCAAGTGCTTGCAGCCGGAGCCAGCGGCCGACAATGGCAACGGAACCGAGACTGTGCCCAAGCTGCTGATAATGAGGAGTGGCAAGGAGATTCTGAACCTGCTTAAGCCCATTGGCAATGCTACCAAGCGGCACGAGCACGGCAGCTGTGTGGTTGTCCACTTTTGCACGGCCACAAGCTTGGAGTGCTCTCGTGTGGCGCCCGTGATAAACCTTCTGCCTCACCTATTTCCCACGCTGCCCGTCGCCTACATCGATGCGTACGAGTTTACCCCCTTCAACGCCGAGTTCGGTATTGTTTCGCTGCCGACGCTGATGATCTTCCATCAGGGACGACCGTTGATCAAGTACGATACCTCCTGGACGGACTCGGAAAAGCGCGCCTTTGGCAGGTTCATCATGCGCCACACCAACGTAAAGACAGTGGATCCCAAGAGCATTGATCCACAAATCTTGCAGCGAACGCTCACCGAGCCCCTTTCCAACACGCCGGAGGTGCAGACCGATTACTACCTGGGCATGGCCTGGGCCTTTATCCTGCTCTGCCTGGGCAACTATGTGAGGGGCACGGTCTTCTGGAAGCAGCTTATAGCGATGGTGCAGCGCAACTGGCGAGAGTCTGAGGAGACGCAAATGGATGTCGTTGACTAATAGTGCAAAAGGTGGTCTTGGGGCGGGGCAGACCGGCCTGGCCTGTCTTTCGGAAGCAAAGTACATACGCTTTACATTTACTAATGTAATGTATTTAATGATTTAATTAAATTCACATCAACGTTACTTAAGCCTTATTTAGTATTATATATATTCGTGTGTATATATATATATTGGGGGGAATTGTAATTGTAATGTTAAGATCCTTCAAAATTAGTTAGATTCCTTCATATCCGTCGTCTCCGGTCCGTAATTAAAGCTTAGCGTCTAACCAAATCTAGACCAACTTGAGAATGTATCCAAATAGGTAAGAGTAAAACCGAAATGGCATTCATTGCTTGTCTGAAATCATCTTAATTTTGATTCTTTAGTATCGCACAACTCAAGTAATCGTTAGCCTGTGTCGCTGTTTTGAGAATTTATCAAAAAAGTAGGAGTAAAACCGAAATTGCATTCATTGCTTGTCTCAAGTCATTTTCACTTTGATTTTTTACTATCGTACAACTCAAGTATTCGTTAGCCAGTTTCGCTGTATTGAAAATTTTCTGGGAAGAGTGTGAGTGCTTTTAGTTGGAGCAGCGGCTTGACAATGCCAGAGCGGTGTTTGTGCCATGCCTGCGGGTCAGTACGAAAGTCGGGTAAGGAACATATACCTGTCGCAGACAGATAGTTATGTCTAGTTGGAATTGACAATATATAACCCACGACAACGCAGGCAGGACAACGCACAAAACAGCTGTGTGTGTGTATAGTGTGTGGTGTGTATCTTTTCTAAAACATAATTAAGTGTACTTTTGGAACAGGATCAGCGTTAGCTGTCCAGTGGTGCGTGTGTGTGTAGTTGTATGTGGTTGGAGATGAACAATTGTGTGTTTTTGCAGTGGGAGCGTGTCTTCTATTTCTTGGCCCGCTTGCCCGACTTGGCACTTGATGATTCGCCGCCATTTTCTGTGTGGTGGTGGTGGCTGTTCTTCATGGGGCGCTGCTGGCGCCTTGGATGTGCCGCATAAGGATGTGGATGTTTGCTAGTCATGGGATTTGAAGAATAAATAAACACAAATTAGTGACATTATCAACTCGATTCAACATCGTTTCGTAAGCAAATAACTTAAACAAAAGACTCAAAATCATAGGTAATCATTCGTAGACAGGCCAATTCAAACGGAACGTAAATGGTAATATGGTAATGATGGCGGGAAGATAGCAGTCGGCGGGGGGTGGTGGTTTAGATGAGTAAGCATGATTAAGATGAAGGGAGCAACAGCAGGGATGATAGGTCGCGCGCAGTTAGTAGTGTGTCGTAGAGAATAGTACGGGGAATGGTGGAGGCGTCGATGGCGATGGCAGTCCGTAGCACAACGAATTCGCAGCCGCAGCAGCAGCAGCAGCAACAACAACGTTCGAATTTTGCGTTCGATTTAGATCGTCGATGAACAATTTTGGCGTCGTAACAGAGTAAAACGTAAAGTAAATCAAATGCGAAGTCGAATACAGTTGCCCTCGCAGATGATAACTGAAGGATTACGGATACGGATACGCTTTTCGGTGGGGGTTTTAAGTGTAGTACGAGAAAAAGACAACTCAGACCCGCTACATGCTTCTCTTGTTTGTAGTACATACAATACATACTAGATGTTATACATATGCGAGTATATAGAGCTAAAGGAGTGTGTGGTGGTGGTGGTGGTGGGAGGAGAGTTGGTTGCGGCAGCCTTACACATAGCATGTGGCACGGCTCGTGGCGTAACTGCTGCATTGCGTGGGCACACGTTGGCGTTGACGGAACGATGGTTGGTTTGGTGTTGGTGTTGCTTGTGGCTGTGATGATGCGTAGCATTGATGACGGCCGTCGAACGTGAGCGTCACGTCATATCGGGGGTTAGTATTGGATCGCACGATGATCGAAGAACGCCGAATGCTGTTGTCATTATCGTTACGTTGATTTATATGTTGTTGTTTGGGGTTAAATATGGTCATATGAATATTGTTTGCTTGGATTAAAATAAGTTTCGGTTTTTGTATTGCTTTGGTTGATTTCTGTTCTACTTTCGATGGTACCGGGAGTTATATAGACGCCAGTCTCTGCATAAATCGAAAGTACATAATAAGTGTTGGTAGAGAAGAGGGAGAGAGATCAACAAGTCGTTAAAAGAGTTGTAAATTGCGAATGTAAGGAAGCTACAGGGATATAAATAGACAATCGGAAAACAGACCATACATTTTGGCGATTATACGATTCGGATTCGGTTTTCCGAATACAATCTTTAAACGTGGTATTAACGCCGTGGTATTTTGCAAATATGTAACTCGAAGCAGGCTGCAAGATGGATGATCTTTGTAGGCATATACAAAATATAAGCAATAGAACTTGAACGTAACGTAACGTAAGGCTGCTGGCCGGCTTTTCTAGGGATTAGATTAGGCCAAATCCTTTTTGGCAGACAGACTGTCCTGGGCTGGATCTGTCTGGGGGAAACAAACCTTGGCGTGGCTGCAATGCTGTGACTGCCGCTGGAAATCGTGGCCAGCGGCGAGGACGCGGGGGTACGCAGAGGTCGACGGGGAGTGGCCAAGTGTTGCCCATTGCGCATGTAGGCGCGTCGCGAATTTCCAATGCTCACGTAGTTGTTGTTCGATGGATCATGTACCGTTGGGGAGGACGACTCTGTGGTTGTTGTTGTTGCTGCTGCTGTAGCATTGCGGCTGTCGTCGTAGTATGGAATCGATTCGAAGAAAAGTTGGAAAATATTACAATACGTTTGGCGAGTCTTTGGTGTGTTTGGTTGGCAACTATTCGAGGCAGTCCGTTGCGTATAACGCGTTAACGCGCTAGAGTGGTTAGGGTAGGCGATGAATGAGTGGAGTAGAGTACCCGATAAAGAAGTAGTATTCCAAAGGAATCGTGGATTGGGGTGGGCAAAGTAAAGGCAAAGGCAAAGGAAAACAATGAACAAATTTTACAAAAAAGAAAAGGTTCTTGATCTTCTTGGAAAGTGCCGCCTACCTCAGCGCTCAGTGTTGGTCTTTCGTTATATATATAGTATATGATCATTATTTGATATATTTTCTTTACTTTTCTTTTCTTTTCTGGTTTGGCTTTCTTTTGGTTTTTGAACGTTGTTGGGAATGTAAAAGCAGACATTTATAATATGCAATTCAATTCTTTTTTTGTTCTGATAGTTAGTAAAATATACTGGTATGTACGTTAGATTTTAGTAATTGTATCTGCAAGTAAATACAAACGTTTCAATTTAGCAACAAGTTGTGTGAGGGTTAGACAAGTGGGGTGTCGGGGGTCGGGTGTCGGGGGTATGGGTCAAATGCTACAACGCAAATTGCTAGACCTACACACGTATCGGGGCGTACACGTACTGGGGTACTGGAGCTGCAGCCACATCAGGCCACAGTTAACGTCTGTGGACACACACTCACCTTCCGTGCGGAGCCGTTGAAGGTGCTGGCAGCGTTGGCAACTGGCGGCCAGCGGACGAGCGGCCCTGCGGCTGCTGCTCCTGGATCACACAGTCATCATCGTCGTCGTCATCCTCGACAGGCTCAATGGTCAGTGTAGAGGTCGAGGCGGCTGGCGGAGGTGCACGAATGGCCTGCATGCCACCATGACGGCCGTGTGGACCGCCTCCGCGATGGGCGCGAGTGGTAAACTCGCGGTCGAACTGCTCGGCCTCTTCCTCGTCCAGGTTGATGAACTCCTGACGTTCTTCCAGCTGGCCCGAGCGCATGTCCTGCTCCTTCTCAATGATGTGGGCGCGCTCTCCAATGTGATGACCGATGGCCATTTTCTTCACGCCTGTGCGCGAGTCCTGGACTGTTTTACGGGTCTCGCGAACGCCACCTGGGCCGGTTTTGGTGCTGGTGCTGGCCTGGTAGATCTGTGGGCGGCCGTCGGGTCCCGATGACATGGTCATCACGGTGCTTTGGCAAAACGAAGCGCCTGGATTGGCGCCAATATCTATATAAGGTAGGGATCATTATCATTGATCATTGATTTTTGTTCAGGCTTGATCAGAACTTACCGGCATTGAGCAAACGATTGAAATTTGGCATCATGGGCATGCCGAACATACCCATGGCGGGCATGGCAGCCATTTGATGGGGGCCGCCCTGCTGGAATCCAGGATCGAATGGCGATCCCTGCATGAAAGGATCCGGCATGAATGTGTTCATCAAGCGGTTCATCGAGCGCATTTGCATACCCATGGCATTCATGGTATGGTTCATGTTCATGTGGTTACTGTTTGAATAATGGAATTTATTAGAACACTTTTTAATTTACCCAATATACGGTATACTCTTTGGCCATTTCCTCGTCTTCATTAGCAGGATTCAATCTTTTTTTGCGAGAATTTTTTTTCGATTTCGACTGTTTACTCATTCTAAATCGCGATTTCAAAATAAAAGCGAATCCCAAAAACTAACAAATTTGAATATGATGTTTCTGAAATCTATTTGAATTTTTGTATCAACATTTTACAACAAACTAACCCTTGTCTGGTTTTTGTTGCCTGTGTGTGACATTAGCTTGAGGGGTTGCTAGCTTGACGCAGAAATAAACGAAACAAATTCAATTTAATGCATTGATTGCGGGCCCTGCAGTCGTTCTTTTTAAAATTATTGATTATTACGTCTTCTTTTCACGCATGCTGCACACACACACCCCCACACACGCATACACAAACTGGAACACACACGTGAAAATACGAAGCATTGCATGTATCCGTCAGTTTTGCGCAATTTCCCCCGCAAATTGTCGAGATGAACTGTTAGCCAGTGCGAAAACCTATATCCCTATGTAATAAACAATAAAGTGCCAACGCTAGGCTGTTTTCAGAAGCCACACCGAGCATCACGAATACACATATATGTAGGTACATAGTGCCGAGGAACAACCAGCTGCAGCCAGTTCAGACTGGCTAAAAAGGTGTTGGTACTTACTTCATTAGTCCCAAATCATCGTCGAAGTCTCCCATCAGTCCCAATGCACCGAAAAGTGACATTTTATTTGTTTTATATCGTGTTTTGTTTAAATTTTAGCAGCAAATTTTTCTCGCAAGATGATAGTGTGACCGGATTGATTTATCCATAACATATACGGTCTTACCCTCAGAAATATACTGAAATATACCGCACAATTTTCAAAATTATAGTATCTAATTTAATCAGCAAAATTTTTCATCGATTGAAATTGTCGTATATTTTGCTAGATGATCAGAATATACTGTCTTTGCTTTTTCAGTATGTTTCGGTGCCCATAATCAGCTATTTATTTTGATGATCTGGTTGCTAAATTTTGCGTCGATTGAAATACATTCTTATCGTTTCCGTACAAATATCATCCCTGATTCGATCGATGGAAAATTTGCTGATTTGTGCCTAAAAAATACCCCGTTTTTGGTATATTTTTTTTTGTCGTCTAAAATTTATAAACAACAGATGGCGCTAAAGGTACTGCTGTTCAAACGCATCTTCGCGCTGAAAGCGGTTTCGAGAATATTCTAGAATGCACAGGGCCATGAAATTAAGCAGAGTTTCAGCTTAGTCGAGTCAAGTCTATACTGAACTCCAGCTCAAAGCAAAAAAATAGAAATGCGTGCATCTGATAAACTCATTTTAAATATATAATTTTTATTTTATTACACGTTTCATATATCGTATATATATAGACTTTCTGTTGGATTTATATGTATGTATATATTTACAACTTAGTTTTAGAACTATGCAAAGTGTTCGGTGTAGTCTAGACCTAAATAAATCTGTTATTTATGAAATTAATTAATCAAAAAATGTAATTATACATACATTATACGCATTAACCTTGATTGCGCTCCGCCCCTGGCTATAAGACAGCCGTGCCGATGCGCCAGAACCCACCTCCACTCGAGCCATTAACTATTTCATATAAACATTTCAATCCGTTTCTTCCCCAACCCAACTTAACTTAGTATCTTCCGACTTTGAAGTATAAAAGTTTTGTTTTTTTTTTCTGGTTGTATTGTAAGTTATTAGCAATAATATTAACTGTAAGTGAACAGATTTCCAAATAAGATGTCAGTTTCGTAGACATGAGTAAGTAGACTCGTAAGTATATCTAGATATATATCCGTAAGAATAATATATTTATGCACCGCATGTTCTGAGAACAACAAGCAAACATCTCACGTTAGAGTACGTACCGAATATTACGCCAAATAATGAAATGTGCGTGTACTCTTATAATCGTTTAATCGGTTTAAATGCTAACAATCTCTACATCTCTCTCATTATCATAATTGTTAAACGGCAACTCAAACAATGCGCAGGTTCTGGGGTTCTTGAGTGAATATCGTCGAACTGAAAGGACCAGCCTCTTCTCCTCCATCGGGAGGAGGGCAGCGGTCCTGAGAGGGGAGTCGAATGTTTGCTGGCAGTGTAGCATGGAAATCATAATGCAAGTGGAGATAAAATATGTATACAATACCTAAGGGTATCGCCCACAGCTTTGAAGAATTAAAATCGGTTGCTCTTCGAATTGTCCTACGTATTTTGTGAGTGTGTTTCATTTAGAATATGTTTAATATTGTATGTTAATTAGATTATCGACTTTGCTCGGTTTGTATTTCGCGTTACACTAAAATGCCATCAAATCAGTTTTCAGTTTGTATTTTGTATTCTCTAATTGTATTTTCGTTTTTTTTTTTCCCGGAAAAATCATTTACTTTACTCCTTCGAATCGTGTGCGTTGTCAATCCATTTATACGTATGGGTTCGTTCTGACTTAAGATACGTATGCTCGAAATCGTATCCTGAACTGCATTAATAACTGTATATAACTGTATATTGTAGATATTAATATTACCGTTTAGTTTTAGATTACTGATTGCTACACATTGCAAATGAAATTTGACTTATGGCGTTCATCGTCGTCGCCGTCTCTAAACTCTAAGTTTCAAAAATGGCTGCGGTATCGTAACTAAGGGTTCTGTTCTGTTCTGCATGCTTATAAGATTTCAATTTCGATTTGGCAGTGAGAAAAACTCAACTCAAGAAGCGTTCGAATGAGTTTCGTTTGTGCTATCGCTATACTAATGCAAATATACCCCATATCCAATGCCCACCAACGAGCATCGTATGTGGGTGTATCCGAGGATGGGTCTGTCTCTATGCTATGCTTCGGATTGCTATTGCTGCAAACCAGGTACCTCTAAGAAGGCTTCGAAATAAGGAGTGACAGTGCTTTGGAAAAGAATTTCGCGAAGGGAAACTATATCATCATCCTATATACATTTTGTGTATGTATAATTTTTATCTCTGCTGCTAAGGTCTCGCTTGTAGTTACATTTATTATTATAATGCTCAAAACCTTTCGATCATGTTCCGTCAAATATTCCATTCTTCATCGTCACTTCTTCGCCTTCGTCCACTTCTGCTTTTGTTTCGTTTGAGGTAGTTTTTCAATTCAGGATCAATATCTACAAGTCGAACACAAAAATGCTTGTGAGTGTGATTCAATTTAGCTTAGGGTTAGCTGTGTACATGGTGTCATGGTCATGGGCTCTACATAGTTGGGGCTAGTTGTTATTGGGGGCAAAAAAAGTAAGTTACAGTTTACACATAACAGAAAACAGTGCATAAAAATCAAACAAAGTCTAGTTGCTTTTCCGCTTTCCGGTTCCTCTCGAAATTTCAAGAATCTACATAACGATTTTGTTTTTGTTTCAGTTTCTTTTTCTTTGTCCTTTATCCACCCGGTTGTGGTACTTTGATCATTATCATTATTTTTACGTTATCTTTGAATGGATTTCTCAACAAATTGTTACTTTATACCATACATTCTCGTATTTTCGTAATTCATCAGGTTGCAGTTTTTGTATTTTTGTTAGTAGCATTCTTTGTTTTCGTACTCATACAGCGATATAGCGATAGCTATATATCGTATATCATATCATATTCGTGTATGTACAGATCTTAGGCTTAGGGATAATATTGTAATATTTCAAAGGTTTAGCGTTAGCGAGGATCTCCTGTGGGTATTTATTATGCTTGTACTTATCCTATATTCAACGTATTTTAGGGAGAAGTCGTCATCGTCGGGGGCTCTGCCTCTGCCTGAGCCGCTGCCACTGCCATATCTATTGCAGCAAAATTTTATTCGATTTTTTACAATTTAAAGCTATTTAATAGCGCATCGTGTCTTGTGTTTCTTGGTTTTTTCTTTTTTTTAGCTCCTTGTCAATTATGATAAATTAATACAAAATGTTCCTTCCTTTTTCTCCTTCTCCTTCCACCAATGTCCTTCCTCACTTCACACTCTTTGCCTGTCGTTCTTAGCCAATTTTCACAGCCATTTGCTTCGCTTGCAAATCTTGTTCAAATTCTGAATTTCCCAGCTTTTCTTAAGTCTTTGCTCACATCCACATTACCTTTTCCCAATCAGGATAATACAGAAAATAAAAATGAAATGTTTTCCGGAAACACTTTTTGGGAAAATGAAAACACACGGATTTTGGTTTATGTTTTTTTTTGGAGATTTTCTTGTTGGTTTTCTTTTTCTCTTTTTCAACACATCTTCTTCTATATATATATTGTATATATTCTGCTTGGTTTCGTATCGTAAAAAGGTAAAAACTATTCCGCATTACGATAGGGTTTGCTCTTTACAGTATTCTTGTAAAACTACAAAACAAGGTATGCATATATGTATGTATGTATATAATGTATCTGTATCGGTATCTGTATCGGTATCGGTATCTGTATATGTAGTGGTATTATGCGTCGTAATAATAGCAATAATAATAGTAATAATAATAATTGGGCGTGCGCGAGTGCAGGCTACAAAGAATTGAACTTAAACCAAAAACTTAAGAGCAAGCCTGATCGGGGATCCTACGAGTAGTACGATTAATGTATTCACTGATTTATGTTTTGTAATTAGAATTTCCTCCTGTAAAGCAGTGTGCTCCTTTATTTTATATCATATCGCGTATACTATATCGTTTTCGTGTGCTCCCTTCTTCAGATCTCTTCATAAATTAAATTTACTTAAGTTTTTACATGTATTCGTGTGTGTGTGTGGGTGTTTGTGATTGTTTATGGGTGAATTCGGGGCGTGTGTGTGTGTAAAATATAAAATTAAATTAATATTAGTAGTAAAAATAAAAAATTGCACAATTCAAGTTGAAAGCTACGTAAAATTCCACTTAAAAACTTTACATTATTTTATTTTAATATTTTACAATCGCTTTTCCATTGGTTTTTTATGTTTTGTAGCTACTAAAATTAGAATAAATTTGATTTAAGTTTAAATAAGGCCAACAATTTGTGTTTAAATTTTGTAAATATTTTTTAAAAGTATATATTAAAATGTTTGGAAATAAATTGCATTCAAATTTTGTTTAACATAATAGATTGCCAAATGAAAACTTTGCACATTTTTTGTTTTGTTTTGTCTAAATAAATTTTGATTACATTTTGTTGCTCACACAAGTTTAAAAAATTTTAAAAATGTTTAATGTAAATTTTAAAAATAAATATTGAAGTCTTTTGGTGTGTGTTTCTATGTGTGTGTGTTTGTATGTGTGTGTCCGAATGATTGAATATTATTTGCCAGCAAAAAAAGATGTGAATTGTAGGATCTAAAACCTTCCGATGCGATGGTTGTTTTTTATGATTTTAATGTTTGAGTAAAACTCCAATCACTTGAATTTCCTTTCTAAAGTTCTCGTTATCAAAAGTGTTGTTCTTCAAAAAAATGCCTAGAAAACGACGCCAATTTAAAAAGAGTTTTGTTGTTTTCGGGCTTGAAAATTATCAGAATCTTTGAGACGAAGTTCTCATCGTTAAAAAAATATAGATATAAGGAGGGTATGACGAAAATTGTTTTACGTTCTGTTCTTACGTTTGTGGTGATATTTTGTTTACAGAGTTTCCCTTTCGTTATGATTAAAAAATATTTATAAAATCAGTCCAAGTTTTGCGTGTTTTTTTTTTGTTAGTTTTGTTTTTAGAGTTTTTTCTTTTTATCTGAATTAACTTAGGTTTTCATTCTTTTAGTTTTTATAAGTGTTATTCTGAATATAAGAAGGTATATATTTGTTACACCTTTTTTCACTAAACAGATCCACGCGCTCCAGATGATGTTAGCTTTACAGTTAGGGTTAGGTATTATACAGTTGCGTTTTATTAAGTGTACAGTTATCGTTATTTGTAATAGGTATTATTTTATATATTTTTTAAATATAAACAATCTTTACTCTCTTCTCTCTGCCACATTCCCACACAACCCTACTCGTCTCAGCTACATGCTACATTCTACACTCTCTCTAGCTCTCTAGCTCTCGTTCTCATTTCTGTTCGAATTGGAGGACGAAAAAACAAAATTCGAGAATTGACTGTGAGGCGGAAACAATCTGCCACACCATTCACATAACTACTTGATGATTTTGCAATTGTTTTTCCATTCAGTGTGTCTCTTCCTCTCTCTCTCTCGCTGTCGCTGACGCTTTTCCATTCATTTCTCTTCATTTTTTTCGTATGTGTTTTTTTTAGCATTTGTGTAATTGTTAATAATTTGTTTATCGGTTATATCGTACGGATAATGCCTTATCTCTAGTATTTGCAGACTTAAGACTAAATAACTGCATTTTACGCTTGTCCTTCAGTGATCCCTCCATCAGGCGTCTGGCATCAGGATCGGGCATCTCCCTGATCATCGGGATGTCTGTGAGGGTGTGGTTCAGCTGCCTTTCCTTCTCCTGGCCCTAGTCGAGCAGGACCCCGCCCACCACCTCGTGCAGGATGGTGTGGTGGTGCTGCTGCTGCTGATGGTGGGGCAGGGGCTATGCCGTCGTCGAGTGCTCTGACTTGACCGCCACGCCGGCGATCAGCTGCTCCTGATGCGGATGCAGCGGCACGCCCATCAGTGCCATGGCCGTCTGGGCGTTCGCGTACATGCTGACGGGCGCAGCGCCGTTGCCCACCGCCGCTGTAGTCGAGCTGGCGGGCACCGCCGCCGTGATGCTGGTGGAGGAGGTGGCTGCCGCAGTGGTGGGGCCCATGGCTCCGCCACCGCCGCCGATGTAATCGCTGCTGGTGCTCACGGCCGACACGGATCCGGAGCTGGTTGCAGAGCCGGTCCCAGAGACGGAAACAGACGCAGTGGCGGGAACAGAGATGGAGACTGGGGCGGAGGGAACTGGCAGAGGCAGAGGCAGAGACAGAGGCTGCGGCTGCGGCTGGGGCAGTGGCTGCGGTTGCGGCTGCGGCAGCGTGTGATTGGGCAGCGGAAGGTGCTGATGCTGGTGGTGGGCGGCCGCCGCAGCCGCCGCCTGTGAGGTGGAAGCGGAGTCGGCATCCAGACCGGCGGTAATCGCCCCGCCAACGGCACCGCGCATTCGTTCCGCCCGCACCATGCGCTCGTTCTCCTCCTGCTGGGCCTGCAGATGCGACTGCACCGAGGGCGGGATGGCGTGGACGTCCCAGATCTCCTCGAGGAACTTGGGCAGCTTGCGGTTCTTGAGCTTCAGCGAGAAGCACATCTCGGCGTTCTGGTTGCCCAGGGTGCGCAGCTCGGTGAGGATGGAGAGGAGCTTGGCGTAGAAGACGAGGCTCATGGTGTCGCCGCAGTGGCGGTTGAGTATATAAATGCGTAGCGTGTCGATGTAGTAGCTCTGTATCGCCTCCACCAGCTGGGCCTTCTCCAGGCCCGGCCGGTCCGAGAAGATCACAATGGCAGTGAGTAGCGCGTATTCGACATTGTCCACCTTCATCGAGAACATCTGGCGGCAGAAGTGCAGTAGGTCCTCGATGTTGTCCGCCATTCCGGCCATTTTGTACGAGTCCCGCGTGTAGGATCGGTTATTCGCAAAGAATATCGAGTCCGAATTGTGATCGTAGCGCCGCGCCATGCGCAACATCATGACCTCCGATGAGCAGGCCTTTAAGCAGAGATTATCACAGATGTATCTTCAATCGGGAATCAATGCGGAGGGGGTGGGGGGGGGTACACTCACCTTCAGTAACGTGATCTGATCCTCCTGGGGTATCTTTGTAAACGCTGGTAGACCTTTAGCAAACTCAACGATCAACTGGACCGTGAGTATGGTTATCTCGGTGATGTGTCGAAAGCTGACATCCGTCTGGCTCTCGTTCTCATCCGGGGTACTCTGAAAGCCAAATACGAGGAGTCCATTAGAGCCCCCTTCTTACGGAGAGGTTTGTAGAGGCTATACCCACCATTATACGCCTGAGATCCTCTTCGGAGGGCTGCTCGTAGCCATCCTGATACCAAATTAGCTTATATATAACGGCCAACTGATTGTACGTTAGTGGAGGTATATTGCGCGCTTGACACTTGGCCAAAATATCATCAGGTAGTAGCTGCCAGAAGAGAGAGAGAGAGAGAGAGAGTGAGATCAGTCAGGGAATCTGGTGCGATCCGCTTGCTGCAACTTACCGGAATTGTGGCATGCTGCGGCGCCTCGCATGTCATCAGATCGAGAATCTCCTTCTTCACGTAGTCGTGGGTACCACCGACGCTGCCGCCGCCAAGGCTGGAGCCGCCGCCCACACTATTACCACCCCCGGCGCCATTGCCGCCGTGCTGGGAGCTGGGCGAGGTGGTCATCTTGTCCTTCTCCTTCTGGGCCTTCTTCTCGCGCCGCTTCATCGCGCACTGGTTCTCCGGGACGACGCACTCCGGCCGCATGCCCACCGCCAGGCACTTCTTCAGGCGGCACTCCTGGCACTTCCTCCGCATGTACATGTCCATCTCGCACGCCCGCCCGAACTTGCAGCAGTAGACGGCGCTCTTGGTGACGCTGCGCCGGAAGAAGCCCTTGCAGCCCTCGCAGGTGAGGGCATTGTAGTGGTAGCCGGAGGCCCTGTCCCCGCACACGAGGCACAGCTCCTCCTGCACCCGCGGCGCCGGGCCCTTCTTGCTCTTCTTCGCATCGCAGCCCTCGTTCGCCGAATATCCGTTCAGGCTGCTCGAGGGCGAGAGATCATCGCGACCTGTCCGGGGGAGGGGCGAAAGAGAAAAAGAAAAGATCGGGGCATTAGATATCTCTCTGTCTCACTCTCTCTCTCTCTCTTTCTCCTTCTCTGGGTGTGAAGCCCCTCCATAAAACATTAGAAACCCAAATAAATAAATTTTCCATTTCATGTTGTTTCTTGTTATTTTCGAGTTCTACTCGTTCTCTGTTCTCCGAACATTTGCATTTTTTGCAAAACTCCAGTTCCGATAATCTGTGTGTGTACGATAACTGTCGAAATGGGGCTCTGTCCACCATCCCCAGCGTCAGCCCCAGCCCCAGCCCCAGTTCTGACAGAACGTAAAATTTAAAATTCAATTAACGTCGTCGCTCAAAGTCACCATCGAAACGAAGCTGAAACAAGTCTTAAGTCAACAGAAATCAACGATGGAATGGAGTGGAAGAACTGTTAGGGATGGGGATGGGGATGCGAGACCCATAGATAGAGCCATCAGCAGCGGCTGCACGACACCATGATCCAGTTCTGGGAGATTGTTCAGAGGACAATTTTTACTGCAAATCAAGAGATACATATCTATCGGATAGACGTCAATAATTGTGGCTTCCATGTGGGACTTTTGTAATATTCTCTGTTTTTTCCATTGGGATAGATAGAGTAGAGATAGATGAGGCCTTATTATTGTTTCTTATTCCGAAAAGATTGTTAGTTCCTTGAATCCCCAGAAATATTTCTATGGTGTATCCCATGTGGATTCTATTGAATTATGTAATATTTTGCCATGTCAAAACACCAACCAATCGACTCCCATTATCGATTATGTTTTGAACAGAGTGCTGCTCCTCAACTCCGGGGTGGCGGAGGGCGGCAGTGGCTAGAGGCTATGAATGGCGTTTCGGAGATACATTATACAAATAGTCACGTTCCACACAAAAGGGAGAGAGATAAAAAGAATATCAAGTGCAAGTTTCCCCCACAAAGACACTAACGACAGCAGAGCGGGGGGTGTGGGATGATGTGGTAGGGTATGGTGTGTGGTGTGTGGTGCATGGTGCATGGTGCATGGTGCATGGTGGCGTGGTAAATGGGTGTCCGTGGCACATAAGTGGATAAAAAGATACGACAAAGAGGCGTGTTGTTGCAACTGCAATGACAATGACGATAGAAAGAGGGGGCTCGGCAGAGGCAGTGGCAGATGGCAGACAAGACGCAGCGAGGCTTAGACACTTGTCTGAGAAGGAGGAAGAAGTAGCAGGAGGACAAGGAGAAGGACAAGCACAAGCAGAAGAAAGCAAAGCGGCAAAGACGCCACTTGGCCAGAAGTGCGCCGCAGCTTTTACCCCCCTCCCTTTTCCAACTCTCCTTGTTCTGCCTGTGGCCTGGCTCTTCTTTTCCTTGTGTCTCCGCCGCCTCCTCGCTCCTCTTTCCAGCTGCCACACTGCATCCGAGTGCAACGCAGTGCATTGTCGGCCTAACACACTTTTCCGCTGTCCAGCCATCCAGCCATCCACCCATCCCCCGTCCCTGCAGCCACTCTCTGGCACTGCATCCCCCATTCCACTCCACTCCACTCCAATCTCTTTCATTCCCACAAACATAGGCCTTAAATCATTGCTCATACGCCCCGCTGTCTTGTGCTTCGAGTCGACTCTGGACTGCAGCCGCCTGCAGCTACTTTCCCTCCAACCAAACCACGTCGCTGCGTCGCTGAGTCGCTGGCGTTTCAATTTCACTGCCACAGCTAGGAAAAGCTACCAGTGGCGGGGGCGGGGGAGCAAAGAAAAGAAAATGAAATAAGCGACGGCGTCAGGCAAACTTTGTCTGCTCCAGCGGCTCGTGGAAATGTGCAGGAGACGCCACCATGACTGCATTTTCGCTGCACTACAGCTCTGTGTGTGTCTCTGTGTGTGTGGAAAATCGCAGTGGCAGCAGGGAAATCGTGTGTCTAAAAGTAAAAACCGGCTGCTGGCCAAACGACTCTCCCCATCTGCCCCTGGACAATGTCAGGCCTTGAATGCAATGAGAAAGAGGTGGATAGACGCACTGATACCCTCGGATTTGCATTGTTCACATGATTGCCGTGCCATACGGGGAGCTAATCTTGTAGTTATGCCACTTATACCCTCTGAGAGGGTATACAAAACAAACAAACACACACTGACAGTGGAGCCACATTTCATTTTTCACTGATGAAAAGACAGTTTCACGCATTGCAGAAGGGGTGAAGAAGGCAGTGAAGAGCAGGGGGGGAGGGAGAGCGAGAGAGTGGAAAGCACAACAGAACTAAGCGAAACGGAACGCCATGAAGTAAGAAACAAAGGCAGAACCAGAAGCAGAACCCGAAGCAGAAACAGAAGAGCAGAATGGGATGGATGGAGAAAACAACAACAAAAAGTGGAAGCCAAAACGGCAGCACAACACAAAAGACACCCACCCCCGGGAGTCCACCCATCTCGTTAGCCGCTCGCCCGCCTGCCCCCTCCGGCGTGCTTCCACATTTGGAGTTCATTGTGTTATTGTGCTTGCTCTCCTCTCTGCCGGCGCACTACATACCCACATAATCCATGTAAACTGAGGCGGAGGCAGAGGCAGAAACCATAGCCAAAGCAAACTGTAAGCACAGAGCAGAGCAGAGCAGAGGCAGTGGCGGCTGCAGTGAGACCCAACACAGTGCTGAGATCTTGGCTTGATTCCCGCTAACATTCCCCCAGATTATTAATCAGAAAAAACATAGAAAAGAAAACATTGTAGAAAACAGGTGTTTTTTTTAAGCAAAATCCATTTCAAGAGTACTATTAAAGAAAAGAATCAAGCATTGCAGCACAATGCCTTCCCGCTATATGCTCAATCTAGCTCTAGCCAAAGATGGCAGCACTGGGCCGCCTACCAGCCGCAGCAGCCCAGCACAGTGCTCTCCCGCTCTCTCGCTCTCTTACTATGCACTCGCTCTCCCTCGCCCTGCACTCTGCATGCGCCCTTGCTCGACAAAAGCTAAAAAATGTTGATGTAGGCCTCGAAAAATATGCAGTTTGCCTTTGGCATTGCCACTGTCATTGCAAGCAGCGCTGCTGCTTGTGCTGCTGCTGCCTCTCTCTCTCTCTCTCTGTATTCATCTCCTGCCTCCCTCTCGGGCAATGCAGTTCCACGTGCTGGCGAGTGCGAGTGAGCGAGAGAAGAGAGGTGGCGGGGACTGCAAGTCGCACACTCTTTTCCAGCGTGGTATAGGTAAGTTCTCCCTTCTGCTGCTGCTGCTGCTTTTGCTGCTTCTGCTGCTTCGCTTCTTCCTCTGCGACTGTCTCTGCTGCTGCTGCTGCTGCTAGCGCTGGCTCTGCCGCTGCCGCTGCCGTTTGCGTGCATTTCATTTTATACAGTTTTTACTGCATTTTTATTTTGTTTTTGTGCCTGGCAAAGAAATGAAGCTTTTTTTCTTTTTGCTGCCTTTGTACTTCGCTATTCTATGGGCAAAGTTCCCGTGTTTGTGTGCTCTCCGCTCCTACAGCAGTGCAATATATTTAAGCGGCTTGTTTTTTGTGTATGCATAAAAAAGAGAAGAAAGAAGAACGGAGCAGCGGAGTGCCAGAGAGGGCGGGGGGGCTGGCTCTTTGCAAATAGCGCCTTCTGTTGCACTGAAAAGCAAAACAAATAAAATCCACCGCCGCTCCCACACATACACACCTCCATCTGCGTGCATCTTCTCCACGCTCCCGCCCCCCTCTACCACTCTACCTCTGTACGTTATAGGGTGTACGAGGGGTCGAGTCGAGTCGGGGGTGGAGCAGCCGGAGGGATGCAAAGTTTGCTCGTACGATTTGCAGTTGGGATTCATTTTTGATGGATGGACGATATGAAAAACAAATATATATGTATTTCACTTATTCAAACAAGCTCAGCGCGAGTGAGAGAGAGCGAGAGAGAGGGAGAGAGCGGACGAGGTGTAGTAGGTATAAATCTGCGGTTTAGCTTTAAAGCTGTTTCACAAATATCTCAATTTCTTTAATAGGGGTACTCCTCCAATGCTAGTAATACCCATACCCACACGCATAGCCCATCTTTAAAGGGTAGCGCTCTATAGCCAGGGGGTGGGTGGGCGCTTGTTTGGGACTGCCTTGATTTTATGGCTTTTCCTTGGCGCCACATTAATTGTGGGCATCATACATACTACATATATCTCGCTGCAAATCATCCGGAATGGTTATTTATGTCATATTGGGGTTGCATGGCATGGCATGGCAGGGTTGCATGTGGATTCTGTAAGCTTCTGGCCAGAGAGGAGCCGCAAGTGCAATCTACTTCTTAGTTTTTGTTTTAGTTTCTAAAAACATAGAAGGGATATTTAACCCCCTTGAAAATCGCTCAAAAAATACCCTTAAATTCTCAGAAATTCCTTTTCACCCAAAATTGCCACAACAACCAATTAGGTGACGCAAACGTCATAAGTTCTACCCCGGTATCGAGTCAGAAATCATTGACACATTTTCTGCATATCCTTTGTTTATTTGTTGACCCAGGGCCCTACGATACGACAGTGCAGTGCAGCAGGCGATTGCATAAGCGAAAGCCGACGACCCTAAATCAAAACACATTGAGAAGGCCCAACTAACCAACCAACCAGGGGGGGGGGGGGCTGGGGGCTTATCACACACGAGGAGACGAGGCAGGGGAGTATAATAGCTGCCAAAGAGAGCCACTCTGGGGGTGTGCATCCACCTTGGCTTTGGCTTTGGCTCTGGCTGTAGCTTTGCCTGTAGAATGGTGATTTGTGATGGCCAGCCGCCCCAGTAGTTAGGGCCAAAATCAACAGTCCACTCCCCGGCACACAGTGGGGGGTGCCTGGCAGTGCAGTGGTAACGGTATCCATATATATCCGAAGTTGCAAAAACTGTACCAAAGCCAGCGCATGCCCGATGCACTCTTCTCTGCAGTTCTCTCTTTGGGTCTCTCTCTCTCTCTCTGTCTCTGTCTCTGTTGTTTGGGGTTGCACACGTTTTTCTGTGCTCCCAACGGCTGGAAGGGGGTGTGGG